TGCATGCCTTCTGCATTTCCCAACTTCCCTCATGGGAAACGAATAAATTAGAGACGGTTTTCTGTGCATTGTGTGGTACATGCCATTACATAAAGACTTGGTTAATTTTCTTTTTTTCTCACGGTTACAACATGCTGTTTGCCTCCCTCTAGCCTCATTGTTATTTTCTAACTCTCTCCTCTCATATTTTATAAAAGTGCATTGATTTACCATCATTTTCATTTTTTAAAACATCTTCCTCCTACCCCCAACAAGCATTGTTTTCCAAAGTGAGTATTATCAACTTCCCTCCAGTTTTCCTTGTGTTCCTCTTGAGTGTTCTTACTCATTCCATTTGTGAAGAAAGGAACTCTCTGGGCCAGCACAAAGCATCTGCTGCTTCCATCCAGACAAAGAAAGAAGGTGGCATGGGGTTTTTATTTACTGAAGGCTCCAACGAATGCCAAGCAAAGTGTGCATTCCTAGTGCTCCTGGCTTTGTGCTTGTTACAGACGCTGCTGTCCTGCTAGGAAGAGAAGCCCCTCACAGAATGCAGAAACCAATGCCTGAGTCTCCGTCTTGCTCTTAAAGGTTAGTACATGAAGAGAGTGTTTTAGAAGCACTATGAACTCACCCTGCAGTTCTCAAGTAATCGGGAACTGCCACTCTCCTCTTCTCTTCTACAAAGGAAATGCAAATACATGAGGGTAAGAAAAAGGCATCTAAATAATAAAAGCCTCAAGTGGAAAATACTGGTAAAAATTAGGAAAAAGTCATTAAAGTTAGGGAGAGGCAAAAGAGGATGGCAAGTCAAGGGAATTCATATTGAAATGCACCTTCGGGGAACTCAGGAGGGCCGGGACTCTGCTTTGCTACATTGCTTAGGGGCAGACGATGTGAAACAGGCGGGGGCCAGGCAGTGGAAGGAGGACTGTGGCTAAGGCCAACCTAAGCAAGCTCTGGCTGGTGTGCAAGTCTCCAAATTGGGGAGGTTGTTCTAGAAAAACCCTTGTGTGTTTTTGAATATTTACTCCCAGCTTTGCTGAGCTGAGCAGATTAAACAGAAGTTACCCAAAGCACTTTGCATCTCAAGTATTCAAGTTCTCTGGAGTGTCTGAGACCGTTATGAGGGTTGGGGAAGGAGGGTCTACAGAACCAGAAATTGAAAATACTCCTTTATATATCTGTATTACTAGATACCTCTTGAGAGCTACTTTTCTGGTATGAGTACAGCATCCTTGCTTGGCTGGATTGCATCCTCCTTTAGATTGGCTCTGTTCACTCCCTATAGTAGAAATTTAAAAAAAATTTTAAAGCATGTATGTATATGTTGCTTTTTCTTTTCTTTAAGATTTTCACGTGTATTGACTCTGAGTTTTTCCACAACCCTGAAAGGCAGGCTTCATTTTACAGGATCAACAAGGTAAGAAAATCAGCTTAAAATCACACAAGTGGTAAGCAGAAGACAACTTCAGTCCAGACCTCTAGTCTTTAAACCCTGGATTCTTCTATGGCCCCACACTTTTTATTTTTGTTTTGTTTTGTTTTGTTTTTTTGAGATGGAGTTTGCTGTTGTTGCCCAAGCTGGAGTGCACTGGTGCGATCTCAACTCACTGCAACCTCCACCTCTCAGGTTCAAGCGATTCTCCTGCCTCAACCTTCCAAGTAGCTGGCATTACAAACAAGTGTTACCACACCCGGCTAATTTTTTATTTTTAGTAGATTTGGGTTTTCTCTGTGTTAGTCAGGCTGGTCACGAACTCCCAACCTCAGGTGACCCACTCACCTCGGTCTCCCAAAGTGCTGGGATTATAGGCATGGGCCACCATGCCCGACTCACACACTTCTTATCTGTAAACAAAATGGGAGGAGCACAGTCCAGTGAGAGCAGTATAGAAGGAGATCAACAAGCTGTAGCTGCAGGATTGACATTGCTTATTTTAAATGGTAAGAATTGTCCCACGGTGACTCACTAGATGTGGTTATTATGGATATATTCATGACGAGCAGGAACACCACAAAATCAATTAAACCAGCCAATATGTGGTTGAGAATTCTCCCTGCAGAGGAAGGGGCCCTTGCTGGGCTGGTCATTGTCTTCGATTCTGTTCCTAATGCTAATTTCATCTCAACTATAACACTCTTTCTTATCTTTTAATAGTTTCACTCCTGGGAATCTCTTCACTGTACATAATTTAAAGGAAAGGAAAAGCGACACACATGAAGTTATCACAGCAGCATTACCTGTAACAACAAAACATTGGAAGGATTTAATGTCCAATTACGTAGGCATATCTAAGTTATGGTAGATCATTTCGATATGATATTATGCGGCAATAAAAACAATGATTATTACGATTATATAGCGAAATTGAAAATACCATAATATTAAACGCAAAAGAAGAATAAGAATGTGCTGGCTGCGGTTGAAAATATAGTTTTATACTGTACAAAGGCTGGAAAAGTGACAATAGTGGGCTATGCATGAATCTTTTAAAATAATTATTTTAAATTTTCTTATCACAAATAAAAATCAAATAAAAAATAAAAAAACTGTTGCTCAACATTAATTAAACTGCTGTGTGTCTGTCTGTGTGTAGTTTAATGATGTATCACATAGATTTAAAACCAAGAGTCCCTGGAGTCAGCAGTCAGAATTTTCATTGCTTGCTGGATAATTTTCACTAAACTTTTTAACCTCTGTAGCTTGAACTCATTCATGTATAGGAAAGGCAATTTTAATAGTACGAGTTCAATGTTTCAGTGAGTGAATGAATAAATGGACAACGGGAAAAGGTCTCATCTTTGCGGTAAAGGCTTTGTTTCCAAAGGACTCAAGAAGCTGTTCTGTCCTATCGTTATGGTGAGGGAGATCAACTGGGCTGTTCTTCAAGCTGATGTTTGTGGTTATGTCTTTTCCACAGTGGAAAAGTGTATGTGACATGTACATTTAAAAGCACACCTACAATTGGATAAAACGCCGAGTACATAGGTAGTTCCTGAGGAACAATGAAGGGCAGAACTGTGACTCTGTTTCCCAAGTCTCTACTCTGCCCACACAATCAATCACCTCTTGGGTCTCTTTGATCCGGGTCTCAAAGGAAAGAGGCTTGATGTTATTCCCTAACCCAGAAGGAAAAGAACTGGGGCTCCAGACAGTGCTGAATTTTTAGTACTATACCCTCATATGTAGTGGTTCAAGCAAATGGTGAGAACAAAATCAACCTCTTGTCTTTAAAGTGATAAAAGTTACAATGATAATCATGCATTACAGTATTAGTCCTTTTTTATACTGCCATAAAGAACTGCCTGAGATTGGGTAATTTATAAAAGAAAGAGGTTTGATTGACTCACAGTTAAGCATGGCTGGGGAGGCTTCAGGAAACTTACAATCATAGTGGAAGGCCAAGGGGAAGCAAGGCACCTTCTTCGCAAGGTGGCAGGAAGGAGAAGTGCTGAGCGAAGGGGGAAGAGCCCCTTAGAACACTATCAAATCTCACGAGGACTCACTCACGATCATGAAAACAGCATTGGGGAAACCACCCCCAGGAATCAATTACCTCCACTCGGTCTTGCCTTTGACATGTGGAGATTATGAGGATTACGAGGATTATAATTCAAGATAAGATTTGAATGGGAACACAAAGCCTAACCGTATCAATTTCCATCCCATCTTAAAATCATTTGGTCACACTATGTCGTACGTCATGCTTGCCTTTTTATCACCAGTATCAGGTGCATACGCTAGCGCAGTGCTGCGCACACGGTGAGTAATAAATAGCAGATGATTCCTGCATCAGTGGCAAGGAGACCTGGGCAACCATTCAACAGCCTGTGTGACCTGCCCTACTCGAGGGCCTACTCTCAGTCCCATTAATTATGATTTTTTCTTAAAGAAACGATATTATTTTTAAATAGGTAAATATATGTACATGGTATCAAATGTTTAAAAGGATGGTATAGAGCAGAAAAGTAAGCCTCCTTCCCATTTCCCCCCTGCTAAGTCACCTGGATCCCTTTCCAGTGGTAGCTCTGCAGAGACAAGCACATATGAACATAAAGATTTTTTTCAGCAACTGTAAAGCCTCCCATAGCGTGAATGTACAGGAACTTATTTAACCAGTCTCCAACTGATGAAAATGAAAATGCTGTTTCTTATTTTTGTTCTTACAAACAATGCTACAATATACCTGCAATTTTGCACATGTGTACCTCTGCAATTTAAGTGTCCAGACAGAACAGCTAGAAGGGTGGAGGAGAGAACACATATGGGAGCCAACTAGACAACTATGGTCCCATTTGGGATCAGAAAATATTTATAAATTGACTGATGGAAACTTTATAATTTATGATGCCTTTCTATCCAAAAGCTTAATGTATTTTTATGTATTCAATTCTTGTTTCATATCCTTCATCTTAAAATTTCCTTCATCTAAGACTTATGCATTTCTTACATAAATATATTCTGAGCCATTTTCTGTTGCTTTTTGTTGCTACTGAAAATGGGATCTTTTCTTAGATTTGATCTTCCAATTATTGTCTGTATATATGAAGCCTCTTGATTTTGGTTGTGTTGATTTTGATTGTGTTAATTGTGTAAAAGTTTTTCTGCTGTTTCTCTTAGGTTTTCAAGCTTACAGTAACATCAGCTGTGAATATTAAAGCTTTACATTTTCTTTTTCAAATTGTAACCATCTTATATTTTTCTTGTCTAATTAAATTAGCCTGTATCTCCAGTAAAATATTTTCAGTGGTATTATGGGTATCCTTGTGTTATTCCCAACTCTTAGTGGTAATGTTAGGAGTCTGTGAATAGAATATTTCATGATTTTCTGATTTGCTGATATCTGAAAGTGAACACATATGCAATTCTAAAGCATGGCTTTATTATAAATGGTTTGTGTGATGTAAGTAACTGTACAATTAATTATCCTGTAACAGAAAGATGAGATGAATAAACCTGATACATTTTTCTGTCATCCATACTTCAAAGGACAAAAAATCATCAAGGTGCACCATAGCTTGGATATCAGCTTTTATTTCATATAACAAAAAGTAACTTTAATGAAGTAATAAATTATATGACAAAATTCAAAGATTAGATAAGGTATGGATATTAGAAATAAAAGTACTGAATTACATATACAAGAAGGCATTGACCAGTAAGTACATGGTTGCTTTTCTCCACACACAGAATTCATAATACTGGAACCCTTCCAAAAAACACCAACTGGATGAGGATCTTCAAGAAAATCTGCCCAGTGTCAGGCTGTGAGTGGTTGTTCCTGGGATGACTGGGGAATGGTTAGGTTAGGATGTTGGTGGGGGTGAATAGGTTTGTTGAAGCCTGTCTGAGTCTAGACGTCACAGTCAGGCTCCCCTGGAAGTGTGAGAAGCCTCGTTTGCCCTAGGCTCAGTTTCTTTGACTCCCCAGCCAAGATTTTCACAGTGGCCATGTGTTAACCAGGTGAACAAATAAGTCCCATGACTCAAAGTCTCAAAAGCACGTTAAAGGAACTTTAGGAAGAGACTAGTTAAGGGCAAGCTGCCTGTCTCTGACTGTTAGGTACACTATTAATCCACATTTTAGCAGCTCTGTGCCTTAGAAAAAGAGAATTAGTCCTCTTAAGGCTCAGTTGCATCACCCACAAACACCTTCCTTATAGGTTGATATGGGGATTATAGGATATGACTGTAAAGAGCATAGCATGGTACCAACCCTTACATGTTTCTGGGGTGGGGAAACCAGCCTTAACTGCAGGGAAAGATGAGTTTCCAATGCTACATACTATTTGGAGAAGGATCAATTCAGTTTTGAAATTTCAGAAAGATGGATGGAACTGGGACTGTTACTGCTAGACAGCATGTTCTAACTCAGGCAGGTGAAAGCAAAGGGGGTGACCATTTGAAAGCCAGCATTCCAGCGAGGCGAGCAGTAGAATATTTCACTTACTCTCTCACACCACATCCCAGTCAAATCAGACTCTTAACTCATCATTTTCAATATGTGCTTTTGCTTGTGGTCTTAGCTATCTCCAACACAAATTTTTATTGTTGGTGTTTTGATGCTTTTAAATCTAAGTCCTAACCTCTCTCAGATATTTTTACGTTGCCCTGACAAAAACTGCCTTATAATATGGTTGGGGATACACAGTCCTGGGTCTTCCAGGGTCAAAGTGGCTTAAGACAGTGGGGTTGTCCTGAGAAGGTTGTGTAGCCAGAAGAAGCACTCTGGCTCTTAGCAGGCTTTTTGAATGACATTCTAAGACCAAGCAAAGACAACAGATGAGTTACGGCATGGGGTTGAAACATTACTCACCAGCTCAAATACTTCAAAATTTGCTGCAGGGAAATGAATACACTATCTACTGGAGGTACCAAAGAACCCTTATTTGGGGTTCAAATAATTCAAAGCAGTTATTAACTTGCGGAATTTTCAAATACACCATGACCTCACAGAATTACTTCACGATGGTGTCTAAGTAACACAAAACTCTTGGGCTAGTGACTGTCAACATGTCTGGTGTCTGGGAGGCTTTTTAAAAAGACATAAGTCAAGGTAGAAATTTGTTATTGGCAACGTGGTTAATCCTGACTCTTCCCAAGTTTTGCTTCACTGGAATTAATTCAAGGACTAGTTCATAATTTTCTTTAGACACAATTATTAATAATTCAGGAATTTGGTTCATCATTGAAAAATGAAGTCCAGGAAGAAACTAATTATGCTTATTATTAAAATATGTAGAGTGTATTTTGCTTGAGATAAAGCCGTAGGGAACACAATCAGCACATTCACATATTGTGCTTTTGCTTCGTTTCCTGAACCCCAGCCAATTGCTGGCTTAAGCAGGGCCATCTCCTCGACTGAGGACAGAAGTGCTGCACAGCATGGAAGGCTCAGCAAAGCACCAGATGCCTTCTGGAAATGACAGTGTGACTGCAGGAAATGACCAAAATGGCCTCATGGATCCTAGTGAAGGCAGGAACATCACCATCCCTGAACATATACATGAGGACAGAAGCACAAACAGAACATTTACTGGATTAAATTTACCAATCTGTGGCAGGTAATTATTTAGCTCAACACTCTGCAAAAGTTTGAGTGTGGTTTCTAAAGTGATGTAAATCAGTGTTTGGACTAGGACTTCCTCAGAGAGTGCAGTGCTGACCAATACTAGATCTACGGGATATGAATAGGAGTTACATGAAAAAAAATTCGTGATCCATTAAACTTGGAAAGTTTGAGGTTAGATAAAATCAAGTGGCTTTCCTTATTATACCTTCTCTCACAGACTAATATGCTAACGTGTGTTGTGGCTCTCCAAGCAGATATTATGGTATGGTGTATTTACCAAAGGTACTTGACCAGAGAGGGGACTCCTTTGGTTAGAGAGCACCTCTTGGGACCAACTTCATCAGTGCACTTTGGGAAGTGCTGCCTAATTGAAATCAGCCTGTTTTGCAGCTGTCTCAATAGGAGTCCCAGCTGGGTCTGCAGGAAGAGCTCAGCAGGAGGCTGCAATGCCCTTGCATTATTGAATACTGCACAGATTTACTGAGTACTACATTGGCTTATTGAGTACTGCACTGTGTTACTGAGAACTGTGCTGTCCTACTGAGTACTGCACTGTGTTACTGAGTACTGCACTGCCTTACTGAATATTATACTGTATTACTGAGTACTGCACTGTGTTGCTGAGTATTGTACTGCCTTACCGAGTGCTACACTGAGTACTGCACTGTCTTACTGAATACTGCACTACATTTCTGAGTACTGCACAGCCTTACTGAGTACTGCACTGCCTGAGTACTGCATTGCCTAACTGAGTACTGTACTGTATTACTGAGTACTGCACTGCTTTCCTAAATGCTGCACTGCCTGGCATTGAGTGAAACAGGTTCCATGGGAAAACAGAACAGGCTCAAACATATCATACCGGTCTCCTGATCCATCCACAGCCTCACTATAGGTAAATTTCAGAATGTCCTGATGAAACGGAGACTCTCAAGGATCCTTTCTTCAGATGTAATCATTGCCACAAAAGGAAAACTGAAAGGTGGCACATCACTGAGAGGCTGCTGCCTTACCAAAATATCTTTTGGAAGTTGTATATTAATTTTTCTAAGATAATATTAGATCACAGGAGAAGTAAGGTAAAAAGCTGTTAATTCCAGACTCTGAGGTTAATTAGCTCTCTTAGATGGTGCACCTGTAGGAACGCATAACAGGTAGGATGACAGTCTTATGCTTGGTTTCCTTTTTATAGAATCTTGAATCAGGAAGAATTTTAGTTACAGCAGAAGGCAAATGGTGTAGAAAAAAAGAAATATTTTTTCCAGAATTCACCCCAGCTTCTCTCGAATGGGGATTGAGATGAAAATATTCTTGAATCCTGTGGAGGACATTCCCATGAATGACATGGAAAAGAAATTTTTTAATGACATTTAGAAGAAAATTCAGCAAATCAGTCTCCCTCTCCACGTTCCAATTTGCAGGCTCCTCAGTTTCAGACTCATGAGAATGAACATGAACCACCTTTCCACTGAAAGACATCAAGGCTCTGTGTCTCCGTAATTGATTCAGGCACATTAGTTATGCAGTGGGAAGGGAGAGTAGACCCCCGGGTCCAAACTGTTGGCATGGCGGCCCACCTCCCTCCCCTGTCCCGTCACTCCTCAAGCTCGCGCTTCCCGGACGCCAGCTGTCTGCAGGAAGCTGCAGCTTCTCTTTCCCCTGCCTCCTTTGCTGGCTGGAGCTGCAGGATCATGGCCTGCAGAGTTTCCTTCACCATCTGGAGCTCCCTCTTGAGAGACTGTGGGCATGTTGTTAAGGAGCACATCCGAAGGTGATGGCGGCCCTCTGCAGCCTCCGAGGGATGGAAGAGCATGTGAGCCCGCTGGAAGCAGATGGGCACTGCCATCTAATTGCAGTTTCAAGTTCTTTCAAATTGTCGGAATTAAATATTAATACACATTTTACACTTTTTCTTTTAAGAATGATTGCAATTTCTACAATGCCTGAGGTATTGACTATCTCAAATCAGGTCTGAAAAAGGAAATGGAAGAGTAAGCTCTTAGCTGAGACAGATGGCCAACTCAGATGCTCAATGATCTGCGGTTGGCATGACCATAACTCCGGCTAAGCCCCAAGTTGGGGATGGGGCAACTGTCAGATGCAAATACTCTTGACAGTGGAAAGTGCCTGAAATCAAAATCTCCTTGAGAAATACAGGATTTGGGGTCACCATAAGTAGGGAGAGGAATACTGGGCCGGACTCAGCTATTACCACAGTCCCTGTTCACCACTAACCAGCCTTGTCACCTTACGCAAATCAGTTACAGCCTCCGTTTTCTCAGGAAATGATGACTTTGAAATCCCTCCAGGCTCTAACCTGCTGTTATCTGTTAGTATATTCGTAGGGAATTACTTTGATGATCAGAGTCCATCAAAGGGCAAAGAGAACTCACTGTTTCTGGGTCGGTTGGTTGGTTCTTTTTTTCTTTAATTGTTGAGATCTTAGTTTTCTAACCTATAGTTATTTCTCACATGGAGAAAACAATCATGGAGAACTTAGCAAATAGTCACAGATAAGGCTGTCGTTCTTTTAAGACACGGGTTCTCATCTGGGTGTTCAAGCGGGGGAATGTTTAACCAACAGTGGTTTAGTGGTTTTTCTGTCCCTACATCATCCAGTTCATCCTTTCCCTTTTCCCTTGTAGTCAAAACAACTCCAAGGCAAATGCAGGGTGAGAGTTGGGTTTAACAAGCAAATTGGTCCACTCTTATCCTACAGGAACCAAGGAGGAAAGTCGAAATACGTTGATACCACCTACACATGCTGAAATCATCACATAAAGCCAGACCACTCCAACAGTACTAGATCAGACATGGAGGGAATAGAGAGCTTTGGGAAAGGAGTCTGACTGCTCACGGACCACCTACACTACAATGTGGTTTTCACAGAGTGCAACGTCAATGCAGTGTCAAGAGAAACAGACACCCTTACCAACCACTGTGGAAAGCTTTCTGTCTCTTTTCTTTCTTTCTTTCTTCTTTTTTTTTTTTTGGAGACAGAGTTTCACTCTTGTAGCCCAGACTGGAGTGCAATGATGCAATCTCGGCTCACTGCAACCTCCACCTCCCAGGTTCCAGTGATTCTCCTGCCTCAGCCTCCCGAGTAGCTGGGATTACAGGTGTGAGCCACCAAGCCAGGCTAATTTTTATATTTTTAGTAGAGATGAGGTTTCACCATATTGGCCAGGCTAGTCTCAAACCCCTGACTGCAGGCAATCTGCCTGCCTGGGCCTCTCAAAGTGCTGGGATTACAGATGTAAACAACCACATCCAGCCTCCTTTCTTTTTTGAACAAGGAGCTCCAGAGGATCCTGGGAATTATGCAAATGAACCTCTTCTAAGCAAATGTGCTGAACCACCCTCAAAAGTTCTAGCAGTTTTTCACCCTCTTGAAGCTTCGCCAGACTCTATCATTTGTGTAATTTACATGCATTTACTACTAGGGTTCTCTCCATGCATTTGAACTTGATGAGAAAAGGAGTTGGGTAGGAGGCGCCCAAGGGAAGAAAGAATCCAATATTCGCCTTTCTTTTTGTTTTCTTTCTTTTTTTTTTTTTTAGAGGCGTTGGTTGCTTCCATTTCTTGCATAGCTCTGCTAATCTTCAGTGAAAACGTATACGACTTTATACGAGCAAAAGCATACATGGTCCCAGACTGAATACCCAACTGGAATTTAATCACAAAGTTATGCTACCTCTATGAAGAGCAGGCAGAGAGCTTAAACAGTTTATGAATCCTGACAAACCCTTGAGATTTAATTACCTTTGACATGCAGCCTGGGACTACATGCCGGTATTTGTAATGCGCTAAATGATGACAAAGGTTTTTAGAGAGAGAACTTGAATCAAAATGTGATGTTTCTTTAAAAACTCATGAAACTTCTGGCCCTGACAGAACACAATGAAAAGGTTAAAAATAAGGAGGGGCTACAAAAGCAAAAGATGAAGGTATAACTAAAGGAACACATCAGCTCCTCATACAACAATCACTAACAGAGAGGTGTCAGAAAACCAGGATTTGAGGAGGTAACTCCCTAGCTATGGAAAGCCGGGCAAATCAGTCAACACTTCAATTATTCCACTTGTAAAATACAGAATCATGTACCTTCCTCACAGGTTCAAAGAAATATATTTTTTTCTTTGTTATAGTATCTTTCGTGAGTCATCATGAGATTTAAGGTTTATTTCTTAATATAATAGATGTAACAAACACCTTAGGCTCTGCCAAAGCAGGGACAGACATCAGAAATCCTAGAAACTTCATTTAATGAAAGTGTGGGGGAAATAATCATTAAAATAATCATTAAAATCCTGTTTTATTTGCAAAGTACTTCTCTCTAGCCAACCTGCCTATATGATTCCTTACATAATTTGCGTTACAAAGCATTTTGGATGTACTGAAAAGGAAGAGTGCCCACAAAAAAAATGTAGAATGGGGTGAGGGAAAGTACATTGTAGAATAATTTGTATGGAATGATCCTAATTTTGCAAACAAAGACTATTGATATAAGCCATTTATAGGTCTAGGAAAGGGCTTCAGGAGGAGATAGCAGTGACCTGTTGGTAGAGGCACTGGAAGGGAAACAGCGTTTTTATTTTCCATACTTCTGTGATATTCACAATAGAAATGCTTTGCTTTCATATTTAAATCAATATGTTTATAAAAGAAAGGACTGGAAGCCAGGCTCAGTGGCTTACACCTGTAATCTCAGCACTTTAGGAGGCTGAGGTGGACAGATCACCTGAGGCCAGGAGTTTCAGACCGGCCTGGGCAGCATGACTAAATCCCATCTCTACTAAAAATATAAAAATTAGCCAGGGATGGTGTTGCATGCCTGTGATCCCAGCTACCTGGGAGGCTGATGCAGAAGAATCACTTGAACCCGGGAGATGGACGTTGCCGCGAGCTGAGATCGCACCACTGCACCCCAGCCTGGGCGACAGAGCGAGACTCTGTCTCAAAAAAAAAAAAAAAAAAAAAGGAAAGAAACCACTAGAAACATTTCCCTGTTAAGCGGTTGGGAGAAATGAAAGTGCAGAGAGAGAGAGAGATCCTCATTCTTTCTTTCATTCATTCAAACATTCAAATGTTTCCTGAGTTTCCACTGTGTGTTAACAAATGTTATAAATACAGCAATACAGGAGAGAATCAAAGTCACTGCCATCATGGATGGCATAAATACCTATGAGTGCAGCAGAAAGTAAACAGGCACCATGTTGATAGTATGTCCAGCTGTGCTGTGTTCACAGTGAGCTGGGAGCTGTGGGAGGACCTGGAGCAGGGGGTGACGTCATCAGTTTGGCTGCTGTGCTGAGAATGGACTAAAGGGGGTAAAGGCAGAAGCATAGAGTGACCAGTTAGGAGACCAGTGCAATCGTTCAGGCAAGAAACAATCACAGCTTGAACAGGGCAGTGGCAGTGGAGGTGAGAGGTGGCTAGATTCTGGATGTGATTTGCAGATACAACCAAGGGCATATGGTGATGGTGTGGATGTGGGATATGGAAAATGGAAAAGGTATCAAGAAGGACTCCCTGACTTTTCATCCGAGCAAATAATTAGAAAAATACATCTGTATTTTATTGAGAAAGACTAGGAGTGAGTGGTTTGGTTATTTTTTTTAGTAGAGTAGGGGAACAATTGGATTTTAGACAGGGTAAGTCGGACAAGCTTATTAGCCAAGAGGAGATGCTGAATAGAAAAAAGATGTAAGTCTGGCATTCATACTGAACCATATATTTTTTAAAAATAGGTTTATAGGCTGGGCGCAGTGGCTCACGCCTGTAATCCCAGCACTTTGGGAGGCCGAGGCGGGTGGATCACAAGGTCGAGAGATCAAGACCATCCTGGTCAACATGGTGAAACCCCGTCTCTACTAAAAACACAAAAAATTAGCTGGGCATGGTGGCGCACACCTGTTGTCCCAGCTACTCGGGAGGCCGAGACAGGAGAATTGCTTGAACCCAGGAGGCGGAGGTTACAGTGAGCCAAGATCACGCCATTGCATTTCAGCCTGGGTAACTAGAGCGGAACTCCATCTCAAAAAACAAAAAATGGTTTTATAACATTTTCCCACTGACTTACAGATATATAAACTACCTTATTTGATACATCTAAGCAAGATCTGAAGGTGGCTAAGGAGTAGCTATAATCAGATTTTCTGATCACTACTCCAATAAACTCATATTTGAAGGCCATTACACTTGACCTTGATTTTTGTCAAAGAGCTGAAAAACAAAACTCCACTATTAAAATTTTAGGCAAATTCCAAAATTAGAATAGAGGTGCTAACTGCACCTACGTGCAAGAATAGGCCTAAAAAAGCAGAACAATTATTATGATGGCTGTGCCTTAGGGACCTGAGTAGCTAAGTAACTGCCCCCTGTAACACATAATGCTACCAAGTACCTGTGGTATCTACGAAAATAGCAGATTCATTAAAACAAAGTCACAGGATGAACCTTCTAACATCTTTAAAACACTTCTGGAGCCTAAGGTCATTCTTTACCTGCTTGGGGTAGACTATTCATATGGTAGGTAAGTATATAACTTGTTAAAAGGTCTGTGTTTGCAATAATTAAATGAGTAAGACAGCGGGACATGTGCATTCAGGAATAGAAGATAAGGCAATATTGTCATTCAGGGCACCATTTGCAAAAGATTCTGGAATTCTTTAGATAGACTTTTTGAGACAGAGTCTTGCTGTTGCCAGCCTGGAGTGCAGTAGCGTGATCTTGGCACA